TACTGATTTGGAATTGAGTATCCCTTATAACCAAATTCCACCCATAAGTTAAATGACTATTTCCTAACGTATCTCATGACTATCAGTTCTATATTCCCTTTTAATAATCAAAATGGATTACCATTTACATTTTCATTAGGTAGCCCGTTGCCGCCTCTGGTTTTAACAACAAATCGGGTCTCCTGCGTAAATCACCGACACCGCTACGTCGCCGTTTACGACCGTATCGCGTGGCCTCTGATCCATGGAGCCCACCGGGCATTTAGTCCGGTCGGACGACGACGTCTCTCATCTTTTTGATGCCCACGTGTCCCTTGCCGCATGGCGTTTTTGTTGAATGTGGGATACGCGCGTGTCCGGGTGTCCCTTTGCGAAGGAAGTCGTAGTAGGATGTGAGGGTGTGCCCACTTTATTAATCAATGCTTGGTGTGGACGTGAGTGGAGCCATATTGCGAACGAAGCCCTCCTCACGTTTTTTTTTCTATTGGGTAAATTGCATGTTACCTCCACATTAATAACCTTGATTGCACTTAACGCCCCTAAACGTACTACTCCTTTATTAGCACTTCAACACTTTAGGGCTTGCTACATGGGTAAAGTAGGGTAAAATTTACTCTGTTAAAGATTATCCAATCTTTACCCAGGTTCGTTATTCTCCTAAAGCTTTATCAATGATAATGTTTAACCGCATACGAGGTTAAACTTACAATAAGTCTGTAGAAACCTGACAATTGACGATAAGTCTCTAAAACTTGTTTTTTGGTCAATGAAAATTTTTATTCATTCAACCATTTTTGAAGGTTCTATATATCAAAATTCTCAAAACATGAGAAAGCTATACTAATTACAAACTCTAGGGATATCACCCCACTATCAAACTATTATTTACAAAGAATTAATCCACTCCCTATTTTAAGGTAAAATGGAACTATTGAGCACTAAAATCAAAATGTCTACCTTAATCTCATTTACTAATTGCTCAATCCCCTTGGATTTCTGCAGAAAAATTCTGGCATTCATCTCACACCAGATTTTGAACAGAGTAGTCGAGAAAGCCCTCCTCTTAATCCCTTGCTTGAAGCCCTTGCCTCTCAAATAGTTATATATTAAACCAATTCAAGAGACAGTTCCAGTCACATAATCTCCATCTAAATTGAAGTCATCCCATAATCTTGTTCCATATATTTTGTGAATAATCACAATAAAAAAAGATGATCACGACTCTCAGGACCTGCACCAAAGCACAAACAGCAGCTGTTTGTGTGCACGACCCCCATCTTCATCAACCTGTCTTGTGTAAGTAACATGTTTTGAACAGCAAGCCAGCAAATAATTGAGTTGTTTGTGGGAAAATTTACAGTAAAAAGAAATAAAGGAAAATTAATTTGCATTCCTTTAATCTCAGTTACAATTGGATTTCCTGATTACAAAAAAAAGAGAATTGATCTGGATTCTCCCATTTGTTTAATTCTGGGTTCTTCACGGTAGCGATGAGATGCCTCCCTCGAATGCTCGCGTCGAGTTTGCTTCTCGTTGACGATCCGCACGTCTTGATTCATTGGAACGGTATCTCCTCCTCACGATTTGACGCTGTGGAGAACTTGCAAAGCAAGTTTTAGAACTCTTGATGAGTTGATTGATCTTAACCGTAATTGGTTAGACAAGCCAAGGATCTCTTCTTTGCTGTCCCAGAGCCGGATCCAAAAGCTCGCAACTAAACTGATTTTTTAGTTATTTATAGGGGATTAAGAGGTGTAAACGCCCCCTTAATTCGCTCCTTTGTGGGGCTAGTGGGATGTAACCGCCCCTTAATCCGCTCCTAAGTGGAGTTGTGATCCCCTCAGATCGTGGAAAACGGTTTTGAAACTGTTCAGCTCATGTTTGAACGAGTCAAACGCAAAATCCGCGTTCTGGCGTGAATCCTGTGTTCAAACGCAGTATCTGGAAGCTCGAACGCAACGTCTGGAAGCTCGGACGCAGTGTCTGGATGCTGCGTTTGCAGCGATTTGGAAGCTGCGTCTGAGCTGTTTTTGCAGCGATTTGGAAGCTGCGTTGGCGGTAGTTAGCAGCATTTAAGAGCTGCGTTTGGCAGCGGATGGAAGCTGCGTTGGCAGCTTTTGGAGGTTGCGTTTACAACTGAACATGAGCTGCGTTGGCAGCTGGATCTGAGCTGCATTTGCAACGTTTGGAGCTGCGTTTGCGCTGCGTTTGCAGCAACTTGGAAGCTGCGTTGGCAGCGTTGGAAGCTGCGTTGGCAGCGTTGGAAGCTGCGTTGGTAGCAATTTGGAAGCTGCGTTGGCAGCGTTGGAAGCTGCGTTGGTAGCGTTGGTAGCTGGATCTGAGCTGCGTCCGTGGCTGTGAACGCGGGGCGTCTTGATGCTGGTATGCGGGGAGGACTTCCGCGTCTTAGTTTGAAGAGACCGTCGATTTGTAGTCTCTTTCTGTCAGAGCGTTGCAAAGATCGTCATTTTATAATCTTTGTAACTCTTTGATATGTGAGAGTCGTCAGATTGTAACTCCCGATGTTGATTGTGAAGGTTGTTGATTAGAGCTTTCATCAGTTATTATGAAGGTCGTCAGATTGTAACCTTCATCGATCTACGTGAAAGTCTTCAAATTGTAGCATTCTGAAAGTCGTCAGATTGTAACTTCCATCATCGGTGTTTGATGGGGGGAATCAGCTATCTATTGTGATTTTTAGACAGCCTACATGAGTGCTTGGGGTAATTCATCTTCTCTCATACTGTGTTGAACCATGAAACTTAAAGAGTGGCAGGAGATAAAGCTTCATACAGAGCTGAAACTTTTATTTTTGAATCTTTGTAGCAAGAACTAATGATTTGTTTCAAGTTATCAATTCCACTAGTTAAGATCAATGCTCTATCTCTAGTCTTTATCAATTGCTTCCAAAGTCATGAATCTCCAGATTTAACATTAACATGCCAAATATCCCTATTTTTAAATATTTTCCATGTATCTCTAGTCTTTATTTTTGAATCTTTGTAGCAAGAACTAATGATTTGTTTCAAGTTATCAATTCCACCAGTTAAGACCAATGCTCTATCTCTAGTCTTTATCAATTGCTCATGTATCCATTTGATCCAAAGAAGCTCTTTGTTCACATGAATATACCATATGTTCTTTAAAGCTGAAGCAAAGTTCCATAAACAAGGAGAGAATAAGTCTCTAAAACTTAGTTCTTTAAAGATGTGAAATTACAAAATCCCTCTAAAAAGATCTAAAACTTAAATAAGTCTCCTGAAACATGAAAATTGATAAGTCCCTTGTAAAGTAAAATTATAAACAACCCCCTAACAATTATAAAATTATAAAAATACCCTCAATGATGTTAAACTTAGTAGAAATTACAAAAAATCTAAAAAAGTCAAAACTTAAAATACAAGCAAAATTTCAAAACATACAAATAGCCCCTAACAAAACTAAAAATTTGCAAAAAAAAAAATACCCTCAAAATTTTGAAAATTGTGGAAAACAATTTTTTTCTAATTTACAAAAAAACACTAAAAATTTCAAATCGTACAAATGTTATAGAAACACCCTGAAAAGTATTATAAATTGTAAAAAGCATCATCTAATTTCAAATTTTACAATAAAACACTAAAAATTTCAATCCTAAAAATAGTACACTGAAAATATAGGAATTACGGATAGAGCCATAAAAACAACAGAATTTGTAGAAAATACCCTAAAAGTTTTAGAAATTATAAAAAACACCATGATGCTTCAAAATTTACGGAAAAAACCTTAGAACATTCAAACCTATCAGCAATATGTATACTAAAAATGTAAGACTAGAAACAACCCCTAAAAAATTTGGATTTTGCAAAGAACACTCTAGAAGTTTCAAAAATTGCAAATAAATACCCTTAAAAATTTATAAAAAACACTCTAAAATTTTCAAAAATGCAAAAACTATATTGAAAATATTATAAATTTGAAATTTATAAAAAACACCCTAAAAGTTTAGAAAATAACAAAACCATCCTAAAAGTTTACAAAATTTAAAAAACAACCTAACATTTAAAATTTTAGAAAATACTTATTTGTAAAAATTTTTATATTTTTAGTGTGCTTTTTGTGAATTTTGAATCTTTAAGGGTGATTTTCAAAATTTTTGAAACTTTCAGGGTCTTTTTTGTAAATTATAGAGCTCTCTGTGGAACTTTTGTAATCCTATATTGTCAGCTTACCTTTTTATAGGTTTAAAATCTTTAGGATGTTTTCTATAATTTTTAAATTATTTAGGGTGTTTTTTGTTATTTTTAAACTTCTAGGGTGTTTGCTGTAAATTTTGAATTGTGCATGAGTCTCTTTATAATTGTCAGATTTTTGAGGAAGTTGTATGTATATAAGTTTAATATTTTGAAAGAGCTATTTATAATTTATGTATTTTGAGTTGAGAGTGGTAGAGATCCTTTTATGTTAAATTTTGAAAGATCCTTTTGTGTTATACTTGAACGTTCATATTCTTGCTTTCGAATGAGTTCTGAGACAATTATTTTGCTTAAAAATGTTCTAATTGAGAAGAATGCTTTAAGGCCAACTAGATATTTAAGCTGCAATGAACAAATTTGTATATTTCTATACGGAATTTCGCATGCCCTTTCAAATCGAGTATTAGCTGAGATATTCCAACATTCAGGAGAAACTATTAGCAGGCATTATAATAATATGCTTAATGCTATTTTATCTTTGAAATAAGATTATATCCAGCTTTCCACCGTTGATGTAGACGTTCATCCTAAGATTCGAGAGAATCCCAATTTCTTCCCATATTTCAAGGTATAGCTAAATGCATATATTTTTTCCATATCTTTTTAATGTGTCTGTGTGTAGGTTTCTATACATTAGAACTTTATACATTTTTATATTTGCAGAAAGCATTGTGAGCAATTGATGGATCTCATATTCCTGTAATTGTGAAGAAAAAGAAACACAACAGGTATCGTAATCGAAAGAATTATATATCTCAAAATGTAATGGCAGCATGCTCCTTTGATCATACTTTTCTGTATGTGGCTGTTGGATGGGAGGGATCAGCATCTGATATGTTAGTTCTTCATGCAACACTGGAAGATGGTAAATTTAATGTTCATGAAGGTAAATTTAAATATTTTTCCATTTGTTTTTTTAGAATCAATTAATACTAAATTCAGATAATTTTAAATATGTAGGTCGCTTTTACTTAGTTGACTCGGGATATGCTAATACTTCAAAATTTATCTCCCCATATCGTGGATCACGCTATCATCTTGGAGATTTTGCAAATGGGACCATCAGAGCCTATCGAGATACTAAAGACAAATATAATCATAGGCATGCACAACTACGTAATGCACTGAAAAAAGCATGTGGAATTTTAAAACGAAGATTCAAAATTTTGAAAGTTGCTGCTCCATTTCCTTATAAAACTCAAGTCAAAATTGTAGTAGCTTGTTGTGCTCTTCATAATTTTATTGCAAGGCATCAGGGAAATAATAAATACTTTAATATGCTCAATGGATTAGAGATGAATGAGCATGAAGATGAGGTGGATGAGGAAGAAGATAAATACTTTAATATGCTCAATGGATTAGAGATGAATGAGCATGAAGATGAGGTGGATGAGGAAGAAGACCCCCAATACATGGTTGGTCAATGGATTAGAGATGAATGAGCATGAAGATGAGGTGGATGAGGAAGAAGACCCCCAATACATGGTTGGTACAGATGAAAGTTTAAGGGGTGAGCAACTTCGCAACAAGATTGCTCTACAGCTTTGGAATAATTGAAATATGTAGTAGTTGAATATTGAAGTATAAGGAGGTTGAATTATGTCTTTTACTATCTTTATATGAGCAAAACTTATAATTTTATACAGAGCTAGTGAGTAGATTGTTCTTTCCTTGAATAATCAAATCTTTTTTGCCTAGTTTATTGTTAGATAAGAAGCCATATAATATTTTATTAGCTCATTATCTCTCTTTAGCTGTTGAAATCATGCGAAAATGATAATATATTTTAATTTACCTTCTGAACAATCTTTATTGAATAATACCAAATTGTCATTTTAGCGATATTTGAAAAAAAATTATTTATCCCTTGTGTCTTAACTGGATTACATATTAGCGCCTCAAATCTTTGATCTTGCTCAGAAGGTAAATAACGCGAAAAAAATGTTAATGAGGTAATTAGTTATAAATTTTTAGTAAGGGCGAAAGTGGTATTTTTTAAAAAATTAATGAGATTAGTCTTATTATCCCTTCTTCATTTGCCAAACACAAAAGTCTTAACCCCTTGTCTTAACTAGCGAATCCAAACAGAATTAGAATATTTTTAACCCTTCATAATGGATTAACTAAGTTAACTCTTCTCCTTAATCCCTCTTCCTTAACTCTTTGCCAAACGCAGCCTAAATGTTCTAGAGTAATAATTACCAGGTTAAAATCTAACCTTTATTGTTTAAACCTCATACCAAATGAGCCCTCAAGGATTACCATTTTTGAAAAGATAAATTGCAAGTAACAACCTCCTATACTCATGAGTTAAAAGGAAGCAAGTGCTAATAAATGATTTTTAAGAGTGTTTAATGCGACCGAGGATATTTGTGTTGTGGGTAACTTGCACATAACCCCCTCATATGTATACCTTAATTTAGTTATAACCAAACCCTCCCAACTCTCACTTACTAGAAGAAAACCACTCATTTACTACCCACTTCATTTTTACTTCTCTTCCTTTTTCTTTGGTGTGGATTTTTTTTTTTTTTTGGGGGGGGAGGGGGGTTGGGTGGGTGGTGTTGGGAATTTAACACTGAAACCCCTAATGCAACAGAAACGCAGAATAAAAAAAGTACACAAGATTTACGAGGTTCGGCAACTGCCTACGTCCTCGGGAACCACACAGTAAATTTCTTATTAATCAAACAAGAAATTATAATTTAAGAGCAGATCTCAAAACTGAGATTTCTCAAATGAACACTGTAGCTATAGTGTTAATAATTAAAGGGAATAATCCCTTTAAAATCTCTCTTGAGAATAAATAATATACCACAATTTAAACCCCTTTTAAATTCTCTCTCTCCTTAATTCCTTTTCTTAATCTCCCCTCAAAAACCCTGTTGAGAGCTGTAGATGTTGAAACAAAAATCGCTGCTGCGATTTCAAGGCCAAACGCTGCTGTGTTCTTTTGTCCGCCGCCAGAGAAAGATCGGGGGAAAAAGGCACAAACCCTAGGGCATCGGGGGTTGCTTTTATAGGCGAAAACGATGGGCTGGCGACAGCCTGTCACCAGCACACAAGCTGGACGTGAAGGTCGGAGGCCAAGACGCGAGCGTCGGAGCCTAAACGCGAGAGTCGGAATCGTCAGCCGCGCCGAAGGTCGCGTTCATCGAGAGGTTGCGTTCGTGGACTGCGGGGCTCGAGCTCGCCTGGGGGTTCGCCGTCGATTTCGCCAGCGTCATCTCCGAGCTCGTCAGAGCTCCTCGTCGCCGGCGGAGGGTGGGTATCCACCCCCAAACTAACAATCTCCCACTTGGAGACCAAACCGACGTCGGCAGGCTATCTCATCAAGCTTCTCTCCTGTGTGGCTCCGCCCTCATCATCTATGCATGAAGGCCAACTGAAGTTGCGCACAACTCCAGTTTCTGAACGGTCACCGTTTTTATTGACATGTCTGCTGGATTCTTACTTCTTGGAATCTTTTCCAGTTTTAACACGTCATCTTCCAACAGGGATCTGATGAAGTGGTACCGAAGCGTAATATGCTTCGTTCTAGAATGAAATGCGGAATTCTTCACCAAGTGTATCGCACTCTGGCTATCACTGTGCAAAACATTCTTCTCCTGTTTGAATCCCAGCTCTGTCAACAAACCCTGAAGCCATATCATCTCTTTACTGGCTTCAGTCACTACAACATACTCAGCTTCTGTAGTGGACAGAGTGACAATCTTCTGTATCTGTGACATCCAACTAACAGCTGTAGTTCCAACGGTGAATACATAGTCGGTGGTGCTTCTTCGGTGATCGACTTCACCACCGAAGTCTGCATCTACGTACCCTTGCACTTCCACTTCTCCATTACCAAAGTGCAAGCACTTCTGTGTGGTGCCTCGTAGATATCTCAGAATCCACTTGACCGCTTCCCAATGAGCTTTTCCTAGATTCGACATAAACCGGCTGACCACTCCCACTGCATGGCCAATGTCTGGTCTCGTACAGACCATTGCGTACATCAAACTTCCGATAGCTGAGGCGTAAGGAACCTGAGCCATACTCTCTTTCTCTTCTTCTGACTGAGGAGACTGATCCTTCGATAGGCGAAAATGGCTGGCCAAGGGTGTGCTCACCGGCTTGGCGTCGCCCATGTTGAATCTTTGCAGAACACGGTTGATGTACTCCGTCTGAGATAACTGCAAGAGACCTCTCTTCTTATCTCTCGTGATTTGCATTCCAATGATCTTCTTCGCTGGACCCAAGTCCTTCATGTCAAACTCCTTTGACAGCTGCTGCTTCAAACTCCTGATATCCTCCATATATGCTCCTGCAACCAACATATTATCAACATACAGTAGTAGGATGATATAACTGGACTGATATCTTTTGAAGTAGCAACAGTGGTCGGCGTTGCACTTCTGGAAACCTTCCTTGTGCATGAAGCCGTCAAACTTCTTATACCACTGTCTTGGGGCTTGTTTCAGGCCATACAAGCTCTTCTTAAGTCTGCACACCAGGTTCTTCTTCTTTTTTTCTGAGAAACCTTCTGGCTGGTGCATGTATATCTCCTCTTCTAGATCTTCATGAAGAAACACCGTCTTCACGTCCAACTGCTCGAGATGAAGATCTTCAATAGCTACAATACTCATCACTATCCTGATAGTATTTAGCTTCACCACGGGAGCGAAAATATCGGTGTAGTCAATTCTTTCCTTCTGTTGGAAACCTTTGACAACTAGTCGGGCTTTATATCTTCTGGAACCATCTTGTTCCTCTTTTACCCGGTACACCCATTTGTTATGGAGTGCCTTCTTACCCGTAGGTAACTCTGCTAGTTCCCACGTCTGGTTTGAAATGAGAGACTTCATCTCATCTTTCATGGCAAGCTCCCACTTGCTCGCATCTCCACCCTGACAAGCTTCATCAAAGCTTTCAGGCTCCCCACCATCTGTCAACAACAGATAGTTCATGTATCTCCTGTTGGGTACAGGAGGACGAGAAGATCTTCTTAATATCGGAGCTGGTGCGTCGGGCTCCTGCGCACCATCTTGTCCAACAGGCTCTTCTGGCTGAGGACCCTCTGCATTGGGTTCTTCCGAGAGGTTACTCGGGACATCATCTGCATCTATAAATGTTGACTCGCTCTCTGAGTCATCAGTCTTGTGCATATCCTTGTACATCACCTTCTCGTTGAATATTACATCTCTGCTCCTGATCACTTTCTTGTTTTCGTTGTCCCAAATGCGGTAGCCGAACTCATCTTCACCATAGCCGATGAAAGTGCATTTCTTTGACTTGGGATCAAGCTTATTCCTGCCTTGATCACTAATATGCACATAAACTACACAACTGAAAACTTTGAGATGTGAGAGGCTTACCTCCTTTCTGCACCATACCTCCTTCTCTCTGTCAATGTTCGGTTCATCCGCTCAGCTACACCATTTTTCTGAGGCGTGCCGGGCACGGTTCTCTCCATTCTGATCCCGTGCTCATAGCAGAACTTCTTGAATCCGGTGTCTTCATATTCACCGTCATTGTCGGTCCTGAGCTTCTTTATTCTCAGACCGGTCTCATTCTCGACCATAGTTTTCCATCTCCTGAAAGTCTCAAATACTTCTGACTTATGCTTCAGAAAGTAGACCCACACTTTCCGAGAGTGATCATAGATAAAAGTCACGAAGTAGTGTTTCCCACCAATAGACGCGGTGGTGGTTGGTCCCTAAACATATGAGTGAACGAGCTCTAGCTTCTCTGTCATGGGGGTTCTGCCACTTGTCTGAAAGCTGACTCTCTTCTGCTTTCCAAGTATGCATTCTTCACACATATCCATCTCCACTGACTGCAGTCCTGGGAGTTTTCCCTTTGTGTGCATGATTTTCATCCCCTTCTCACTCATATGACCGAGTCTCTGGTGCCACAGCTTTGAAGTCACATTGCCTGCTGCAACTGAGATCAAACAACGTGCACCTGCTGTCATATACAGGGTACCAGCCTTCCTGCCTCGGGCAATCATCATTGCGCCTTTTGAGATCTTCCAATCATCTCCATGAAAGGTCATGGTATATCCTTCGCCAGCCAACTGGCCTACGGATATTAAATTCTTTCTCAGGTCGGGAATATGCCTGACATCCTTCAGCTCCCATACTGACCCGTTCAACTTAATTTTTACCACGCCTTTGCCCACAATAGCACATGGTTGATCATCACCAATATATATGTATCCAAGATTTCCGGGGGTATACTTCTCGAAGAATTCTTTCTGAGAGGTAGCATGGAATGACGCTCCTGAATCTAACACCCAAGATTCCTCCTTGCTCTCCAAAGAGCATATCAATGCGTCGTCTCCTCCTGAGGTGGAGGTGACATTCACCTCTACCTTTGCCTCCTTCTCCTTCTGTGCACTATTGCACTGATTCTTGTAATACCCGGTCTTTCCATAATTCCAACACTCGATAGCCTTCGA